TTTTTGGTTTTTCTCCGGTACCAGGAACCGAACTCATGACCTTGCGCTTGCCAGGCAGGCGCTTTTGCCGCTGAGCTAAATCCCCAGCCTCCATTTTTTTTATTTTAAAGAGAAAAGAAAAACAAATAACAAAGACAAAAACAAAACAACACAAAAACTATAGGAAAAGATACAGAATTTCAAAACAAGATGATAGAAAATCTACAATGGTTGTTGTATCACTTATTGTTAGCTTCAAAGTAGTTGCTCAGATTACTAGACACAAGCATGCAAGATTGATCAAAGCCATCTTTATTTTCACTGGGCCTGTGCTGCAGCGTGGAAGGGTCAGGACCCTGGAGGGAGCCCCCCTAAAGCACCCCAGAAGGTGTGGAGAGCACTGCCTATGTAGCAGCTGCAGGGCTGTGATTGGGCCAAGTGGCTGCAGGGCTCTAGGACAGCTACAGCTGCAGGGCAGAGGTCCATTGAGGGCCTGGGATAACAAGCTGTTTGACTGATCGCTGTCCCTCTGGGGAGAAATGGTGCAGCTGAAACCAGGGACTCTTTGGGAAGATTGGCTGTTTGGCACAACAGTTGGGGTTCTGGGATGTTTGGAATGTTCACGATTTCCCCATATACCTCCCTCCCTGATCTTAGCCGTGCCAGGGCGCCCCCGTCTTCACCGAGGCGGCAGCGGCACGTGAGTGGGAGCGGGGGAGGGGCACGACAGGTGGAAGTCCCTCCATTCCTGTAGCACCACCCTGGAGAATGGTCACTAAATAACTAGGGAAGACACAGAGGAAATTGTCCCACCCCCTGGAGGAGGGTGACGGGAAGTCGGGGAGGGGTCAAGTCAGCCTCTGGTCAAGCTCAGGCAAACCAGACTCACCTTTATCGTACTCTGCATTTTCTTTCCAGGACTTTGGCTAGTTTTACTTTCCTTTACCAGAGGGCAGACACTGGTTATGCATCTCTATTTTCTGCAGTGTGTAGCACCGGACTGTCCTAGTGGACACTCATCTGGCAAGTTGTTTGAGACAGGTTCAGGCTGGTCTTGAGCTCACTGTGTAGCCCAGGCTGCCCTTGAACTCACAGCAATTCTCCTGCTTCAGCCTATTTGGTCTGGCTCCCTCTTGCCTAATCGCTTTCCCTAGAAGTTCCCAGAACACTACCTTTATTCAAGTGTCAGTGTTTCAGTTGCTGAAATTGGTACCTATCTGGGAACAGATGTGGAAGAATTGGTTTGGAGAGATTCGAATGGATTCCTGGGGAAGTAAAAGTTGTGAATAGTTTTGGACTTTGTAGCCAATCCAGCTTCTCAGAGATTCACATGGGTAGAGGCCCCCCTCCAACAAATGGGTGCAAATATTCTGGTACAGCAGAAACAACGGTAAATCACTCAGCCCTTTGTTCAAGTTAGGGACCTGTGCACGTTGCCAAACAAGATTGAATGTTTCACTTTCTCCGATTTAACACTTGAGAGAGCGTAAGTAAAAGTGGCTGATACTGTCATTTTTCTAGGCATGCCCACCAAAGGCATTAAGAAATTACTCAGGGAAAAGATAACACGATATATTTCAGGAATGGCTGGCAGCTGGTTTGCAGATATTCTGACTAATGTTAAGCTCAGCTATTCATAGGCTTCGTAATCTTTACATTTCTTTTAGTAAGTCTCCAGATGACTATGACTCTGTCACAGACTAACCACAAAATGGAATTTCTTTAGATCAGGCCACTTTGCATCACACTATGGTCTTCAATTTCTATCATACTCCAAAGACTATGACCAAAGACTAGGATTTAGACACTGTTGGACATGTTTGTTTATGATTGACTTGACTTATGGACATTCCTTTTAAAGGGTATTTCCAATTTTTTGGCATTGTACTGTGGTCTCCCAAGAGTTTTTGTTTTTTTTTAATTTTTAAACTTAAAAATTTATTTGAAGAAAAACATTTCTATATGAGATGGTATTAGTTTATGAAATAATTTAACAATATCAAAACTCCCTGTGTTTATAATTTCCTATATATACTCATTTGTGGTATGACTACATTTAAGCAACATACCGTCTTAGGACTAAAGAAGCAGGACAAAGCTTAACTCTTTGATTTTCAGAAAATCAGTTCATTCGGTCTCTACTCATCGTTACCCTCCAAAAATGGCTAAGTGAAAAGCAATTGCAACTTGTACTTTTATCCATTTAATACAAAATTTGTGCTTGGAAAAGGTGATTTTGTGCCAGGCATGGTGGTGCATGCCTATAATTACAGCACTTGGGAGGCTGAGGCAGGAGGATCACCATGAGTTCTAGGCCGGTCTGGGCTATATAGTGAGACCCTGTCTCAAAAAACCAAAAAATAAAAATAGATAAATAAACCCCCACACACAAAAAAAGAAAACTTGATTTTGTGAATTTAGGTTGAAGTTAGTGCTTCCACACTCCACAACCACTGAAGAAAAAGCTTAAAGAATTTTTAACATTAAGCAATCAAAGTAAAATCAAAAATTTTCACTTAAATCACTGTTTGTTCAGGCATCATTAAAGTGAATACACTGAATTCTACAATATCAAATCATTAAAAACGGTGGGAGGCTGAGACAAAGGAATTTCAAGTTCAAGCCCAGCCTGGGCAATTTGGTGACTTAGAAAGACCCTATCTCAAAAAACAAAAAGGGGCTGTGGATGCGGCCCAGTGCAAAGGCCCTGGGTTCCAGTTCCAGTGTCAGTAAAAAATAAAAAAAAATAAAAAAAATTAAGCAGCTCAAAGAAGCAGAAAAACTGACTCTTTTCAAGTAACTTGATATAATACTTATATTAGTCACATACAAATATCCAAGCCTGCTCTATCTCTGAATTAACTTCTAAAGACAAAGAATGCCAACTGATTTTCCTCCAGAAGTCACTGAAAAGTGTAGGTGATTTTTCTAAACTATATATGAACACAGCCAGTTACTTGTTGTTTCACTTAGGCTTACTGCTACATATGTAGCTACACCAGTGAAACAGAACAGGTTGTATTTTCATATATTTAACTGAAGAAATGTCATTTTTGCTATAATAAGTACTTATAGTATAGAATATAACTGCTTTCCTCAGTTCCTATAATCAGGATTTAATATATGTATACACACATACACAAACAATTACATATATTTCAGGGTTTTGCACAAAGCGTACTGCTCACAGCTGAGCAGAAACAATGGAAAATTAACTGTTGCTGACCTCTACTTAAAGTTGAATTATCAGTAATAATTGCCACACATATTGCCATGTGCCACAAAACACAGACTGAAGTTCATAATACTACATAAACTATGTTCTTTTATACTACATAAATCACATTATTTTACTTATAGTTGGCAGTTATTTAAATTGTGATTTCTAGGATGTGATGACAGAATAAAGATTTTTACTAGAGTCTTTAAAACAGATAAAATTTGAGTCAGATGTGGTGGTATACACCTATAATTCCAGCACACGGAAAGCTGAGGCACAGGACCGCTGCAAGTTCAAGGCCAGGTTGAGCTACACAGAATTTTCAAGGCTGATCTGAACTATACAGTGTGATCTTTGTAGCACAGGCTGGCCTCGAACTCGCAGCGATCCTTCCGCCTCAGCCTCCCTAGTGCTGGGACACAAGGCATCCGCCACCATACCTGGCTAAGACTCCTTTTTTAAGGCTCTCCTGCATTGACTACATTCAAACCTTTACTATGTTATATATTTTTTTTCAGGTCTAATGAGATGAACATGTTTTGGAAGACATTTCTATATTCTTTGTGCTCGTAACAGTTTTCTCCAGAATATGTCTTACTATAATTAAGACAGCATAAATTAGATTGCAAACTCTTGCCACTTGATTCGTCTTTATGTTGTTTGTCTTGAAGAAATACTACTCACGCTCCAGTTACAATTTTGGATTTCCTCATTAGTGTTTTCAGAATGG